AAATATATTTTAAATAAAAAAATTTTAAAATAGTAATACTAATGGAATTTTACAATGAAATATTTTGTTTGAAAATTTTGGCTGGTAATGTCTTTTTCCAACTCAAAATTTCGTTTGAAAATTTAGCTAATTTTACTTTTTTTTTGGCCCATTAAACTTTTCAACGGATTATTTTTCATTAAAAAATTCTAATGAAAATCCATTGGAAATTCCGTCGGAAAGTTTGGTGTAAGTAATTTTTTTTCTCCGAAAAAGATTTTCGACAAATTTCCAACGAAAATTTTTCATTGGAAAAATTCTATTGAAAATTCGTTGAAAATCCGTCGAAAAAAGTTAAAATAAATTTCTGTTAGAATTCCGTTGGAAATTTCCAACGGAATTTTTTCCGTCCGAAAAAACTAGTTTTCTTGTAGTGGTAACGTGTCAAAAACATTTGATAAATTACAAAATGAGACCAAAATGTCACATCATTTTTACTTTTTGAAATTAAAGAAAGAAAAAAAAGCATAATAAAAAAATTAAGAAAAGAAAAAAAATAAGGGAGAGAAAAAAAGAAAGAGTGTTAGCTTCAAATTGATTTTTATTTTAAAATGACAAAAGTAAATGATCAAAATCACACTAATAAGTTTTATTTTGAATTCATCAAAATAAATAGTTTCTTGTAAGCTTAAAAAAAATTTCAAAACATTAAAAATACACAATGAAATTCAAATTAGTATTTATCGAGAATTTAAAGTCATACTAAAAATGTTTCTTCAATGAAAAAGGTTCAAGTTAAAAAGCATATTTCATAAAAGCTATAAGGTTTGATCTCAAGGGTTTAAAGAATTGATCCCTTTGACACAAAAGCAAAAAAAATCTTAATTAGTCCAAGCTACAAGGATTGATCCTAAATGTTAAGGAATAGATCTATTTTGGGAAGCTAAAAAATATCTATTAGGGATTGATCTCCCATCTCACAAATTTTAAATTTTAAATTTTCAAGTGTAGGATCGATCTCATGAAAGATGAGATCAATCACAATGACTATTTTTGCATTCAATGCTATACAATAGCTTTAATAGGTTTTCTAATCATAAATACAACATATTTGGATCGTCTATGAAAAAGAACAAGCGAAGAAATAAGAAACAAGTTGAGAGCAAACATTTTTCCAACTTTTTCAAAACCTTCAAATGATCTTAAATCCATTTGAGTTTTTCATTCATACTATTTGTAATAATTTTTTATGTTGTCTCTTTGCAAACCTATACTCACTATGCAATATCTACCTATTAGAAGTTTTCTTACTTGTATATTTTTCGTACGCTCAAATCGTTGAGAGATAAAGAGGTTATGCCTTAACTAACAAAAGTTATTGTTTAGAAGTTTTAACTAAGTCTTAAAAGGGAGAGAAGTTATGTCATGCCCCAAACCCAAGACATAATAGACATTATATACATATGAGACAAATCCCATAAGCATGTACGACAACAATACATACTAAATCAAATGTAATATCTCCAAAGTCTTTTCAAAATTCACACTTTACAAAACCTCAAATCTCCAAATATAACAATGTTAACCTTGAGTTATATCATGTTTTGATTTGACAAAAATCACATGTTATCTTGAACCTAATGTCAAGCATTTGAAATTGTCTTAAATACATTGTTAATTCCGTAAGGTTACATAATTGTTTGAAAAGCCATACATCATTAGAAAACATCTTATAAGCTTTCAAACAATGCATATTCTGCTAAGAAAACAAAAACAAACATGCCTTGAAATGTTATTTAAATGTAGGAATGAGGCAAGGAAAACATAGTTGAAGAAAAACACCAAAAAGCTAAGGAAACCTCAAGACACAATCCAAGAGTCGATCTTAGAGAAGCTTGAGTCAATACAAAGGCTGAAAGAGTGCAAAACTTGAAGATTATTAAGCCATAATCTACCTTGAAGTGTTTATAATTGACCCTATACTAGAAAGCTCAAGAAAGTTAACTTTTGAACAGACATAGTTGACTCTAGACCAAGCATAGATGACCTTGACAAGTCAAAAAGCAAGAAAAAGTCAACATTACATAGACATAGTCAACTATAGTAGTACAATTTTGCAAAATACACGCTCTTAGTAAAATGATTGAGTAAAGGAAGGTTATTCTCGACTATGGAGCCCTAATTTGAGAAATTTGAAAAATATAGTCGACCTTAGGAGCATTATAATTGACCTTCAAGCTTCAACAATAGTCAAATTTGATTCAAACTTGTATCTAACAACTTTAAACTTTGCCTCAGCTATAAATAGCTTCATTTGAGCCATTTGGAAGTAAGAGAAAACTAGCACGAAAAAGAAAAAACCTAGACAGACTTAAAAGCTCATCTTTCTCTCTAACCTTGATTTTACTCTTCCATCAAGCTTAGAAAAG